ACGTGGCCCCGGGCAGCGGCTGGAGGTGGCGGGGGCAGGGGAATATTCTGCCCCTGCCCAGAGCTCTTCAAGAACCAGCAACACCCAGCTCCTCCTGCGTTTCCCTGCTTTGGGTGAGCCTCCCCTGGCTGCAGTTCAGTGGCCTTGGACTTCAAAAGGGTCGGAGCTTCACTTCCAGTTTCCCTCCCCAGCCTTCAGATATACCAAACGTTCAGATGGATGAACGCGACCGGGATGGTACGGTCGTCACCGCGGCGCAGTTGAACGCCACAGCCCAGAAAGGGCAGAGCCCCCTAATATTTCACAACCCTTGTGCTTGTATTTGACCTCCTCTTTCACCACATGGGTGTTTCTTTGGATTTACCCAGTAGTTCCTGCAGAAATGGAACCAAATTCAATGCACGGATGCAAAATGCCACCCCTGGCTGGGGTCGTGTCCTGGGTACCTGCCACGGGTGGCATCCCCCTGGGGCTTGCAGGCTTTGGTACCTGTGGATTTGCTTTCCAGGTGGGAGACAGAGCTAAAGGTGGTTTAGGCTGGCAGAGGGCGCAGAGGGGGCAGAGGGCACTTTGCTGGGGTTGCAGGGATTCACAGAAACATAAAGGCTCTAACGTAAGAGCAGTGACTTCTAACACAACTAACAGCGAGCTCTGCCAGGACCGTGGCATGTGGAAGGCTGTTAGGATCCAATTTTGTTGGATGAGAGGAAGGCCCCCTTGCTTTCCAGCCGACCTCAGAGTCTAGGGGCAGCGAGACCAACCTCTCGTTTCAGGTTTGATCCCTTCAAGCGAGCTTAAGACACAGACGAGGTCAGATGTCCCAAGTCCACCCGTTTATTAACTGTTTGGGTGGTAGGAAAGGAATGAAGGAAAGATGGGAAATCAAGTGAGAGGTCTGGATAGAAGAGTGTAGACAGTCACCACCATGGATCTGCAGCATCCCGGGGGTCCGTACTTCTGGGGTCTTTGGTGGTGGGTGATCACATGCGGGGGCGGTGATAGCATAGGGTCTTCAGTGATCACCCGCAGGGTCAGTGGTTGCATAGGGTCTTTGGTGGTCTCCCACAGGGTTGGTGGTTGCATAGTGTCTTCAGTGATTGCCTACAGGGTTGGTGGCCCCCAGAGGGTCTTCAGTGATCACCCGCAGGGTCGGTGGTCACCAGAGGGTCTGAGACGGTGGCCTTTAATAGGCCTACCTGCAAACCTAAGGCACACACTTGAGCATATGTTTCGTGCACCTTATTTTGGCAGGCTCTGTTCTTTGCTGTTGCTGGGCAGGGGCAGGGTTCTGCTCTAAGTGGTGGCAAACTGCAAGCCTTGGTGGGCAGGCAGCCCCGCCTAGGTGTCATGGTGCATGGTCCACTGCTTCAGCAAGCCTGCAAGCCACCTTGCCTGGGGCAATGCTGATCTTCTCAGATAGGCACACAAAAGAGCAAGCTTGGAGACCATTAACAGGCTATTCAGCCTCCCACAAAGGCCCACGGTCCACGCACAGTCGCCCTCAGGCATAGGTAGCCACCCAGGACGCAGAACTTCAGCCAACTGCACAGCTCGTTTGGTGCGTTTCTCATCTCGGTGCGCATTTGCTTATGAACAAATTTGATGATTCACGGTGGAATTTTCTGTTCTGCAACCCAAGAACACTCAGAATCTCAATTTGAATTTGAATTGGACATCCCCGCACGGGTTTCCTGAGTGGCTTTGCATCCAAACAAGCGTTTCAGTGCACTGCCAGGCATCGTCGCCTCCTCCCACCCTGGTGGCAGGGCTCTGCGGATCAACGGATCAACAGCATGCCTGATCGCTGAGGGAAAAATCCTTGGGCTGGGGGCTTGGGTGGGGAAAGGGGTGTTCTGGGCTTTTCCTTCCCAACTCTGCGGCTGCTGAGGTCTGGGTTGGGTGGTGAAGCCGGCACGGGGCGAACAACCACATCGCGGACATCAGAAGGAATTCGAGGCTGAGGCACAGTGAGCCCCTGCCTGTTTGCACGCTGTCCTGCAGCTACAGCGTAATGAAATTAGCAGGGGCTTCCATCAGGTTTGGGCCCCTGGCTGGGAGAAAATAACCCTTTCCAGGGCGTTCTCGAGAGCAGAGTGTTCTTGTCACACCAAGATCAGTCGTATGATGGAAGAGATTTTTTTTAATGTCTATCATTTTTTTTTCCACTCGCATGATTTCCTTACCTCGCCGTGGATGACAGAACAAGTACGTTGTCAATCTGCTTGTCTCCCCACAAGCGATAGTAATTTTGATTTTCATTCCATTAATTAGAAGGAAATAGCTCCCCTTAGACTATTGTAGTCCTGTAACCATAACGTTGTGATTAATAACATAAAATCTTTGACTACTGCTTGCCTACAGGCGGGCGAGAAGAGGCGAGAGGCCAGCCTGGGAAAGCAGGGAGGGCTGGAGGAAGAAAAAAGAAATACCTGAGGATGGGAGAGGGGAAGCTGGAGAGGACCACCGGAGGATTCTGGTGGCGTAATGCCACGTGGCTGCATCTGGGGATGAACTTCACCCAGCCTTTGGATTAACCGCAGGGGAAAATCAGCAGGCATCATATGTTGTGGGAAGAAGAGCAAGGCAGGGGACCTGAGAGATGAAACACATGAACAGCAAATAGCAAAGGAAGACTCATTTTGGTAAAAGTAAATTCATTTTGCAGCAAAAACGTAATCGGAAAACATAAATGCGGTGGCAGTAAATCAGAATCCTGGAATGGTTTGGGTGGGAAGGGACCTTCCAAGGTCACCCAGTCCTGGTGGATCCAACTGGATCAGATTGCTCACAGCCCCATCCAACTTGGCCTGGGATGTTCCCAGGGATGGGGCCTCCACCCCCTCTCTGGGCAACCTGGGCCAGGGTCTCATCGCTCTCAGTGTACAACATTTCTTCCTTGTATCTAGGCTGAATCTCCCCTTTTAGTTTAAAGCCATCCCCCCCTGTCCTGTCCCAGCTGGCCCTGCTAAAAAGCTTGTCCCCCCCTTTCCTCTGGGCCCCCTTGAAGCCCTGACCGGCCGCACTCAGCTCTGCCCGCAGCCTTCTCTTCTCCAGGCTGAACACCCCCAACTCTCCCAGCCTGGCCTCAGAGCAGAGGGGCTCCAGCCCTCGGAGCATTTTAGTAGCCCTCCTCTGGCCCCGCTCCAACAGGTCCATGTCCTCCTGGTGCTGAGGGCTCCCGAGCTGGACGCAGGGCTCCAGGGGAGGTCTCCCCAGAGCAGAGCAGAGGGGCAGAGTCCCCTCCCTTGCCCTGCTGGCCAAGTTCTCGTCCAGCATTTCCACAAGGGAATTTTACAAAAAAACCCCTCGAAATGAAAGGTTTAAGCTGCGCTAGTCCAAGCTTCCTCAGCGCACAGCCTCTTCAGACACACACGGTAGGTGCTGCTGAACGAAGGTTCGCTGGCAAGGGCTCCGCGTCGGGCCCTGCTCGTTACCTCAGGTCTGTGCTCACCTTAATTGCTTCGTCTCGGAACTAGATCATCCCCTTCTTTATCTTTTTTTTTTTTTTTTTTTTTTTTTTCATTTACTTTTTAAAACCCCCATTTTTTTTGCTCTGCTGCACGGAAGGGTCTTGCTGCTGTTGCCCTGTTCCTGCTCTCCAGAACCAAGCTTTTTTTTTTTGTTTTTGAACGGCGGATACGAGGACGGGACACAACCTCCCATTTGCCCGGTGTCATTGCCAAGCGCCGGGCTAACGATGCATTCCTGGTCCCGCTTCTGCTTTGCTTTTGGCTGCAAACGCCCAGCACGTGCGACTTTCTGATCACAAATAACACACGTATTGTTGGTAAACCTGAGCTGCCGAACTTCCTTTGATGCCTTACAAATCACAGAATCAGAACCGTTTGGGTTGGCAAAGCCCTTTAAGCTCCCCCAGCCCAACCGTTCCCTTACCCCTGCCATCCCACCCCCAAACCCTGGCCCTCAGCACCGCCTCTGCCCGGCTGTTAAATCCCCCCAGGGCTGGGGACTCGACCCCTTCCCTGGGCAGCCCCTTCCAGCCCCTGACAGCCCCAAGGGGAAGGAATTGTTCCCCATGGCCAACCTCACCCTGCCCTGGCACAACTTGAGGCCGGTGCCCCTCGTCCCATCGCCCCTTCCCTGGGAGCAGAGCCCGACCCCCCCATCTCCCCCCCCGTTGGGCAGCTGTAGGGAGCGATGAGGGCTCCCCTCAGCCTCCCCTAGTTCCTGGTCAGCTTTTTGCCTATTTTGCCTGCGATCGGCCCCTTGGGCCGTCTGTAATTCTCTCTTTTCAAAGACAGGAGCTGGGTTTTCTTTCTGCTCTTGATCTAAAATCTCCTTGGGTGCTCACGCAGCATTTTCAGAGTTATTAAAAATGGCCATTGGCGATCGAGAGATACCCAAATCCACCCATTTTAACCCTCCCCGTGCCAGTTGCCTTGACCTCTGTCGTGACTTCTGTTGCCCAGCTTTTCCACAAACTCTCAGGAACGAATCCGGGTTTGGGCGCTTTCGGAA